CCCCCCCCCCCCCCCCCCCCCCCCCCCCCCCCCCCCCCCCCCCCCCCCCCCCCCCCCCCCCCCCCCCCCCCCCCCCCCCCCCCCCCCCCCCACTGAGCGACTTTTCGGCCGGCGCGATTTTCAAATTTTCGGGAGCAAAAAAAAACAAAAGTTGGGCCCCCTCCCCTAAGAAATCCTGGATCCGCGCCTGGTGCCCCTCACCCCTTGTAATCTACCAGTACATGACAAATGTTACAAGATGTATTCTCCCTCGACATTGGGGTAAAGAAAGGGAGCAAGAACGCCTTTTTTCAGATTACACACTCCACAATACTTTGTTGAATACCCCGCAATGTTCACCACTTCTTATTTCTTCGTTTTATTTGACTTTTTTTTCTCCATCGACACACTGTTGGAAATGGTCTGGTTAATAAATAAAATCATCTTTTCCTTCCTATAACTTATTGTAATTTCTTTTCCCCCTCTCCCAACAAAGTTATGTTATTTTGTCAAAGTATTTTATTTCCCATAAAGGTATTATGTCCCATTTGCAGGTCAAAAATGAAAAGGTTAAATTCCAACAGCATTTGAAAGACAATACTTATTTAAAAATTCCCTAAAAACGAAAGGGTTTGCATATGGATTTCTGTGGGAAATTAACGACCATTAGTTGTCGAATCGTCATAAGTGATTGGTATTACCTAAGTAATAGTCTGATTTTCAGACCCTTGTACCGAATGGTCGTACGTTATGTGCTGCACAAAGATTCAATCAGTTTAATTTTGGCCATTACAAGTAGTCTGTGTTACCTGTTACAGCTCATTGTAAGTATGTTATTACCAAAGAGAAAAAAAAAATGTCAGTCAGTCAGTCACTCAATAGTGTCTGACAGGGAAGTCTAGAAAGTAAACGGGTTTCCTTGCATAATTTGAATAGTAGGACACTGCTCACATTTACATTTGACAGATAGGACATACATGACATATTTATAATTCCTGCAAAATTCTACAAAATTTGATGTTGGCTGCAAAACGGACATAGTACCTTTACATGCTCATGAACTGCTCCCTTTCCACCTCCACATGCATTACAGAACGGCTGTGAAATTATCAAATTAATATAATGGTATCTTTCATCATCATCATCATCATCATCATCATCATCATCATCAATCATTATTCCTCCCATACTACTCCATGTAATAAAACTGTAGAGTTATGCACACTCAACCGAAAACTAAGTAATGATTAAAGTCTTACTTGTACTAATCCCTTCACTATCAATATTTTGATCTGTATTTGGTAATGACACTTTAGCGTGGGCTGAGAAATGAAAAGCTTTTCAACAAGAAAACTCAAATCACATGGTGGAAGGGTCAGAAACTTCGTAATAAGTGAAATACCAGAAAAATCATGCTTCACATTAATTCATATGAAAGTACACAAACTAGATAATCAGACATGAATACATTGGACAATATCTGTCATATTTTATTACATAATTGTTACAATAGCGCAACAAAAAGGAACATTCTTTTACATATTTGCGTAAAAAAACAATAAGGCAACATGTATTACTAAATATAGGTACATGTATTTATCTGAATAGGAGAAGGAGTTACAAACTAAAATACCCATGTATTTAAACTATTCATTTCTAAAGAAGTGTAGAAAAAAACCCTCTAATTAAAGCTAAAGTAACATGATCGCAAAGACGACTTCAACATGAACTCGAGGGAAATTTCAATACTGTTTTGTAGTTCCCTCATAAATCATGTTTGAGTTATGTAATACATCGTTGTAATGTTCACATATTTCAGGGGATGGACAATGGTATTGAACTAACCTGACTTTGATTTTTGGAAAGCATTTGCAATCGAGTCAAGGGAGATGTACAAGGAGAGAAACAAGGCAGGAATGTGAATTTATGGGGATAGAGCGAGGCACAAGAGAACAAGGAGTAGACATACTAGTATGAGGAATGAGAGAGAGAGAGAGAGAGAGAGAGAGGAGAGAGAGAGAGAGAGAGAGAGGAAGAGAGAGAGAGAGAGGAAGAGAGAGAGAGAGAGGAGTTTGTATAAGATGGTATAAACCATTTTCATCATATATCCCAAACTATACCTGGAAAACAATTGGGATAATGTTATCCAACTGTTTTCCAGATATATGACAACATCTTTTCGAATAAAAACAGAGAGAAGACATACCGGTAATACAAGAGGGAAACATCTTCACCTAAAGCAAAGCTTTTCCATTGATACCTTTGACATATCCTGTCATGAAGTTTGTGAGAAGAACAAATCTGTTTACAAATGTATTTATAAATGAAGACTTTTTGTAATGAAAGCAAAAATTATTCTTTGTTTTTTCAAAATCATTGCTACCTCAAACATGAAAGAATTTACGTGGCAATATTTCTTATACAAGATGAAACATAATGGGTCAAACTTATGAAACACTGAATTACAGACAATCATGGAATGCCAAGTGTCTGCATTCCCATTCCATACAATTTACTGCAATTATAATTACTGGTACATGAACAAAGTAAATTGTTCAACAGCAAAAAAAAATGTTGTGAAATAGAAATGTTGTGGACAATGGACATGATATTTTGTTTATTCATTTAGTGCCAGAATTACCATATTTTTTCCCTGGCATGAAGTAGTCAAAACTCTTCACTCCATAACTCAGTGGCCTACCTCTACCCACTTAGTGGGATATCAACTTGAACTCATTAGTTTGTATGCTATTGTGAATACCAGCCAATCATTCAGAGACACTGGGAATAACATAGATAACGTGTGTAAAATAAAAACAGAACCATCTACAGCGGGTCAACCACATTAGGTCGACAAACATAGCATGCTGTTGAGAACCAAACAGGCATTAAAAAGACGTACTGTATATGCCATATATTTCGTAGAGGTATTATTTTCGTGAATTTTGGGAATCAGTGATGGGTCACAAATTTAACAACAAGCTAAAATATTGCCAACGAACATAATGCACTTACAAACAGTAGATATCTAAAGCTACCATGATCAGTGTATGCGATCCTAGCCTAGGCAAGGCTGCCTCACCAGATGCGCCTATGGAGCAAGGTACTATGTATACGGTACAGTAGAAGCTGCACTGGATCAAGAGCAATTCCATTTACGCGTGGGAGGAAAGGTACAATTTTCCAAGAGAAAAGCAGTTGTACAAGACCAAAACACCTGTATAATGCATATTTTTGTCACACAATCTGTGCCAGGAATGTGGCAGGGCTGCTCATGACATTGATGACTCTGAATGGAATGGGCATTGGGAGAAAGACCACCCTAGAAACATATGTTTCATTAGATATGTTTAAGTTTTGATGATGTTATTCACCTCTATCCATCCTAGTAATCAATCGGGTGTTATAAAAACAACATTCAACAATAGTTTCAAATTTGGTTTAAGATTTGATTGAACTTGCTTGACTGACATAATGATTGTTATTGAGGGTGCGTTTATGCTTGATTTTGAAGGTAGAATGAGCAATCTGAAACGCTCATCGTAATCGCAGTTCCACGGTGTACTGTTTATGCTCACTTCTCTGGCTCCTCCAGGCAAATCTGGCAGGGTGGCCTTGCAGCTGGATTCGCAAACCTGCACTGCGCATGCTACGTAGACCCAATAGAGGTCAGTGCATTGACCACATTTAAACGTGTTTACAAATGATTTTGCGTTTATTCTTCCCAGAATCGCCGATTTTGTAGCATCGCCGATCGTAAACGCACCTTTTTGTGAGTTTACGATCGGCGATCCGTTTTTCGGTGATTCTACAAAAATGAGAAAGGACGCTACCATGTTTTGAACTAAACGCGTAACAGATGCCTGATTCTGGCCAGAAAAAGTTGAGCATAAACACACCCTGAGACTCATCAACAAAGAGGACACAGAGCGATGTTCGTGTTGAACTTGAATAAAGTACTGTGCTCAGATGAGTAATGACAAGGATCAGGAAACTATTCATCAATCATCATTAAACAAATAAAAAAAAAAGATTTTGAGTAAGTGCCCAGTTTCAGAATGGCAAGCTCAAATTTGTTATCATTTCTTTTCATTGTTTTATACTACTAGTAGTACATTACTTAACAAATAAAATGTGATTAAGAAATGGATGTCTAACACAAGTCATCGATGGTTTACTATATATATATATATATAATGTTATTAAGTTTACAGCATTTATTTTCCCTGTATTGTGCAATGCCAGATTACATCATTTCAAAACAGAGCCACAGCATTATCAGAAACTTGATGGTGCAAGTTTGTCTGTGGATCGTACACATGCTGGAATGCTGCGATAGTGTGTTAAAAGAATTACAGCCAAGAGCAACAGTAATTTTCCCGAAATGTTATAAAGAAATACTAGAAATAAATTATTTTTATAAAGTCAAAATTAAAATCAAAATTGCGCCAAACACTTAAAACTTCAGTACATGGAATATTCAATGTTTTAGGAAGTTTCCAATCTCGAAATTATTCACTTGCGAATTGGTCTGGCTAGTCCCTTTCACGAAAATTCATGTCTGCAAAATATATGGCGTAAACAGTAAATGCACAACTTTGTAAAGATTTTTTCAATCTTCAAGACAATAATTACAGGAATACAACTCATTTTTAATATATGTTTCAAACAAAATATGAATTTATATGACAACACAGGGTAAGCAGTCATGTGTTAAACATTAATACCATTCTGACACAAAAGGGTATTAAATCAAACCATTTTGAACCAGATATGAAGACTGCATCAGATACATGCTAAACACCAAACAGGGGTTAATGCCCCTCGGGTTCTCATCAAATCACAGTAAACAAAAATAGTCTGGAAAGGCAAATATGTTTAGCTTAGTTGAAGAAGATGACTTCTTGGCCCAGTCTCACTACCAGTTTTCTGTATCGCACTTCTCCTTTATGACTTGTATAAGATCTGACCTTTGTATTTGATTCTGTATCAGAAGAAAAGAGAAAATGAAACAGTGGTAAGCTTAAAAGTACCCTACAAATTCCCCTTATTTCACATTAACAAGATATGCAGACCTGCCAACCTCTGGAGTTCAAAAACTGTATTCTTTAATCCTAAAAGTTGTATTCTTAGAAATAAACACGGACTGTTATGCGGATCAATGCCTCTTACAGTTCCTACATACAGGAAGAATTTTTTTTATGGATCAGTGGTTGAATATGCATGATTTCGTCACGACTGGTGTGTTCTATGAACCAATGAACATCCCCAAATTGCCGATGTGAGATGCTTTATAGGACAGAATGGGCATTTTGCCATTGAAAATAGCAAACACACACACAAATACCAACAAAAAAAAAAAATTGTAAAAATATTGTTTAAAATTTTATTTATTTTTGAAAATCGTATTTTATTGAGGAAAATCGTACTGTCGTATTTGCTTCTAAAAATCGTACTAAATACGACTAAATCATACTGGTTGGCAGGTCTGGATATGTAGGGACTTGGTAACATTGTTCAGAAGAGAGAAAGTGGTGCTGAGGTAATGACTTCAATGCTAGATGTACAATTAAAGATAATCTGAAAATTTGAGTGAAAACGAATCATTATTAATGATACAAATTGGGATCGATTCCTTAATTCTCCGAACTATATAATTACAATTTAATTACATTTAAGGTGAATGTAAATCGTCATGAGGCAATAACTTGGCTTTACATATCATTCCAGACTTTTCTCATGGAAAAACGGTTGGGAAAATTCAAAAATTGTTGGGAGAATTTACTTTTAATCACTGTTAGAGGGTGTTGCACAGTGACACCTTCAAAGAAAACCATAGATATCTTTGTGGTTTGAGAATTGTTCAGGATTTTTTGCATGTCAGAGGGTTAGTCTAGTAGAAGGAATATATCAACCTTCAACAATGTTACCAAGTCATTTTAATGTAATGTTCAATCATTACTTTTGAACAAATAAAATCTTTGTGCATTCTAACATTCTATTACCTTTTCGAAAGCATTAATGGTTTGCACAAGTTCTTGATTCCATTAAAATCTTGTTTATATGGGAATCAACAAAAAAATGTGAATTAAAAAAAGTGCAATTGAGCCATTTTGTAATTGTTCTCCCATTGATTCTCTTCTGATTAACAAAAACATGAAAAAGGCCACTACGAATAGTTATGAAATGACCACTAACCACTAAAAAGAAACAGAATGGCAACACAACTACAAAACTCAGACTGCAATCACCCAACTTGGGCATAGACTTACCTCTTCCCTTGTGGCTGAATTCCTAAGAGTGATGACCCCATCCTTGAGTTCTTGTTCTCCTATCACAGCTAACAGAGGAATACTGTACTTCTCAGCCTGTTGATATTGGTCCAACATCTTGGGATTTTTCTTGTATGACATCTCAGCCTATGTGGAGAAAAAGGAAATAAAGAAAGATTTTTAACATAGACTTATTAATTCCACTCAATCTTTAAATTTTTGTTCACCTACAAGAAATTTGCATGTTCTTAGGGTGTTGATTTTGATCCGACATATTGTGTGACATCCAAGCCTGTTTAAAGGAAATTAATTAAGATCAGATTTCAGGATTCCACAGCAATAACGGGGGCCACCTACCAACACCATAAAGATATATATATATATATATATATATATATTATTATATACATGTATAGTGATTTGGAGTGTATCTTCAATATTTGTTTCATTGAAACGTTTTTATAAATTCATACTGAATATAAACAGGATGAGACATGCATACGTAGTGACTCTTCTCCTAAATGAACCTCCATTTAACAACTCATCTCATACATCAAAGTAAATCTTCAAACCATGCAATGGGCAATTCTTTGAGAAGTGTAAAATGTGACAAATGTCCAAATATTTTATCTGAATATATACATTGATACAACTACTGACTACTAGTCTTTTCTTATATGATCAATAAAGAGATTTTTCATTATCAGATGATAAAAATGGACAAAGGATATATGTGATTTGGATGACACATTGGAGAGAATGGCCATACTACTACAAGCAGTCTGACCTTGATACCAGCAGACCAGAGTTGATTACAGAGCTTCATCCTCTCTTCAAGCATGTTAGGTTGAGCTGATGCTACCAGGACTTGAGTCTCGATGGTCCGTACAACATTGCTTGACAGCTGTGCCTTGGCTTCCATTATTGAAAACACCCTCTCTATACCAATACTCACTCCAACACATGGTACCTACAGGTCAATGACAAAGGAAAATTTGCTATGTTGTTTTTCCTTATTACAAAAGAATACTTCCCCATCTATATAGTAAGAAATAAACCAGTGTGACATACATTGATTCGGGGATTAATATAAAAACAGGAGAACTGGGATAGTTGAAATCATTTTGGATTTGTTATTTTACCAATGAATAAATGTAGACCCTTTTCATTTCTTTCAATAAAGGGGGGGGGGGGGGGGGGGGGGGGGGGGGGGTCAACAAAATGTTGAAACTTTTCCAAAATTGTTGACCATTTTCATCCTGTTGTCCCAATTCATCCACTTCTATGGAAATCCAAAACTGGCTTTCAATCTATCGTAATTAATGGTGTATTAACCGCACTTTTTTGCCGCCAAAAAAAATTCAAAAGTCAGGGGTGCGTCTTTTCTTTTAATTTAAACTTTCGATTTATGCCCCTCCACCTGGCGCTATGCCTGGCAATGTCTCCCAGCTCAGTAATCGGTGTGTTGACTCACCAATCGGAAACTAGAACAACACTCAAATTTGTCTGTCATCTTGGTTTGAAAGAAATCTTTCTGATAGATCTCAATATGTAGTTTATAATAATAATTCCTCCAATTTTTCTTCTATTACATGGCGTACCACAAGGTTCTATCCTAGGTCCTCTACTTTTTTTTAGTTACATTCATGATCTTAAACATTTAGCTGAGCCTCGCAGTTAAATGAAAGGCCTTCCCGCATTGTTTTTTCTGACACAGACCTTTTTTTTCTTCTTTTTTTAGGGCGAAAAAGAGGGGTGGGGTTAATACACAAGGGCGGTTTATACACCGTTAATTACGGTAATGGATTTCTTGAATTAGCTTTCATTTCATTTCATTTCATTTTTATTTTTTCATTTCCAACAAAATACAATACATAATAACGAATACAATGTAAAATGTATACAAAACATAGTTACATTGGTAATAAACAAATCTTAATAATAATTTATACATTTTAGGAAGACAAAAAATTAATTTTAAAACTTAATTGCATTTATATTTTGAGAAAATGGAGAGGTCCACTGAAAAGCAAAGCTTGTAAATTGTGGACCCCTCAGATAATAATGAGTGTGAACAAAATATTGAATACATAATCAATTAAAGAAGAATAGTGGCCAACAGAGAACATTTATTAAAACACGTAATGACTGTAAACAAGAAGACGTAACAAATTACATGACGAAGAAAGAACAGAAAAAAAGAAGAAGAAAAAAAAGGGGGAAAAAAAGGAACAAAAATGCGGGCTGCGTTTGGAGGGAAGGAGAGTGAGAGAAAAGGAAAGTTGTAGAGATCGAGCATAGGGAGCGCACAAAATCCTTGAAATAGCTGAAACAAAAAGAGCAAGAACATGATGGCAAGTAGTTTTTTGTTTTGAGATGGGCTGAAGAAAAGAGGGAAAGAAAACAAAATTGGGAAGGAGATGTTCTATCACAATAATTTTCTAAATATTATAAGATTGTAATAAGGAAAATTTTAATTTTTTTTTAAAGCAATTAGTGAAGGGGAAGTTTTCAAATCATTATGCAAAGTATTCCAAAATTTAGGGCCTTCAAAAATGAACGTGTTCTGTGCAGAACATGTTCTCAAAAGAGGTAAGTGAAACTCATCGGATTGTCGAGTGGGATATCTATGAACAGCATGGTTTTTAAGAAACATATCATTAAACACAGAGGGCAGTATACCTTTATTGTAATTAAACATAAATTCAGGAATGTAAAGTGAAGAAAAAAAAAAATTCCCCGCCATATCGTACTTGGAGGTATAGATTTTAAGACTAAAGAATGTAAGCCTTGTGACATTTCATGAGATATAATTTGGTTGGAAGTACCATGCAATTTAAAGCACCAGTCAAAACTCATGAATGTAAAGAGAAAATAGTACCCGCCAATTTGTACTAATGTAGGCATAGGTTTGCCTTATTGCATTCCACGAGATGTCTAGCTTGTTACTTAATCTTTAAAATGTGTCATTAGAGGAATGTGAACACTGTACAACGCAAATTATAGAACGGGTTCTTTTTAAAGATATTTACAAATGGAGAGGGGGAGTGGTTTGGTGTGCATGTGTGTGTGTCTGTGTGTGTAACTTAATACATACATGTACATCGCATTTCTCTTTCCTTTTCCATTTGGTGAGCAAAGTAATCCAACTAATCAATAGCCATGAACACGTGAGAGGCTTCCTCAGCTATGATTGGTCCGCGAGAGCTGGAGGGCGAAAGTGTTTCTTTTGTTTCTTTTCGTCACCGGCTTCTCGTGGTCACCAACGCCGGACATGCTGATTGGCTGAATGGTCTTTGCGGCAGCAGGAGGGCGGGACGTGTTTTGAGACAAGTCTCGTCTCCAGCTGGTCCTAGACATTTCAGTTGATCGAGATAAATGGCATCTGAAATATACAACATAATTGTCGATTTGTTTCTGCTCCCCCCCCCCCCTTTAATAGTAAATATCCATGTAATTTTACAATCTTAGCAGGAGGATTAACGTTAGTGCCTTGTGAAGCAATAATTAGATCTCGTCACCGGCTGCTTGTGGTCACTGTCTATGACGGCAGGTGGGCGGGACGTTGTTCTTTTATTTAGAAAAGTCTCGTCCCCAGCCAGTTTTAGACACCAGAGAGGTCTTTAAATCAACTATAAATTTTATATCTAGACTCTGTTTTGAGAGAAATTAAAAGGGGAAAATAAATAATGCCCTTTTACGGTTACCTTAAGCCGGTCGTTAACAGTGAAAGGAAAAGGAAAAAAAAAGAAGAGGAATAGTTCAAAAGTTAATTAATTCGTTTTCTTAAAAAGAACTCCTTATATACTGTAAAGTTTATAATGGTACCAAAAGCCATTTGGTGGGGTACAAGCTGTTGAAGCTTAAAGTATGCACGGGGTTTATCTATTACGTTCGTTTATTACGTTTTTTTTCTTTTAAAATATTATATATAGCCGTTTGAGCCTGGGGCTAAAGTATCATTAATTACACATTATCTGAATCCGTTAATTATGAGGTCAAGTTATATCGTCTGGAGTTACTGTTTTATTTTCGGTGTTGGTTTTTTTTTTTTTTTTGGTCACAGTAAGAAGACTGTATTAATACTTTGTGTAAAAGGCTGCCACGCCATGATTTAGAATAAGTGATGGGAGGGGTTTCGAACATGCCAGCATATATTATGCTTATGTGTATGAATGTGGTTGATAGTGTTGAAGGGTGGGGTGATGGTATGTGTGGTATGTTTCCGGTTCCGATGTCTGCCTGTACTTGTTTAATTTGCAATCTAACTTGAAAGCGTTTGTTTTTCCTAGAGTTGGAAATGCATCAAGCTTCCCATCTACTGTGAAACTGTCACCACTATGTACATTTCTAAAGGTTCTTTGTTACAGATATAGATTCATAGTTCTTGATGTCGGTTAATTTAAAATTACTCTCAATTAATGTCAGAGGACTGAGAGATAGAGTTAAAAGAAAGAAGATTTTTCAGTGGTGCAAAATGTCGGCAAATATGATATTCTTGCAGGAAACCTTTAGCACAGAAGACATTGAATACAGTTGGAAGGGTGATTGGGAAGGCTCAATGTTTTTTAGCCACGGGAGTAACCACAGTAGGGGGGTTATTGTAATGTTTAAACCAGGTATTACTTTTGTGGTGGAAAAAACCTTAATTGACGAAGGGGGAAGATACGTCATCATTAAAGGCAAATGTCAAGGCGAAAAGCTAATATTAGGAAGCGTGTACTTTCCCACAAGGAATAAAGAAAACGCCCAATGTGATTTTCTGTCTGATCTAAATAAAATAATTTGTTCTGTATTTAGTCAAGAATATTCCTTGATAATTGGAGGAGACTTCAATGTTATTATGAATCATAATTTGGATTACATGGGTGCAAGTAATATTTCGAAAAGCAAATATAGGGACTCATTATTAGACTTTCTTGATAAGCTTGATTTAATTGATGTGTGGCGTAAGCGTCATCCTAATCAGAAAGAATTCACTTTCAGACAGAAGCAGCCATTAGTTCAGAGTAGATTGGATTATATCTTCATTTCTTCGAAAGTAGACAAGTTGATAAGAAAGTCTGAAATTTTGCCTTCTATTACACCTGACCATGCTGGAGTTAGAATAGAATTTAACAATTTAGTCGATAGTTTTGTTTATGGGAAATCCTATTGGAAGTTTAATAGTAGTCTATGTAATGAAAAAGATTTTGTAGATGGGGTAAAAAAGAAGATTTCTGAAATAGAGGAAACTTGGCGGAATCAAATAACGAGCAAAATTAAATTTTGGGATTTTATGAAAATGAAATTAAGAGAATATATAATGAAATTCTCCCGTGAAAGAGCAAAACTCAGAAGAGTCCACATTGCAAAATTGGAAAAAGAAATTAAAGACCTGGAATATCGATTGACGCTCAATATTGATTGTCATAAAAGTATTCAGGATGAAATTGACATGAAAAAAATGGAATTAGAGAAGCTTTTCGACTATTCACGTCAAGGGTTAAAAGTCCGTTCAAGGACAGAATGGTCTGAAGAAGGAGAAAAAAATTCAACGTTTTTTGAACAATTACTAAAGTCAAATAAAAGGAAAAGTGTGATTAAGGAGATATATAATGAAAATAAGGAAACTGTGAGGGATGGCAAAGGGATTTTGAAGATTATCAGGGAGTTTTACGAGAATTTATATGCATGTAAAAATGGTGAAATTACAGAGGATATTGAAAATATGTTCTTAAATGAATTACCCAAATTAAGTAAAGAAAATAAAGAGTATTGTGAAGGCAAGATAACACTGGCAGAATGCTATCAGGCAGTAAAGGAAATGAAATGGAACAAATCACCAGGCAATGACGGCTTCTCGACAGAGTTTTATTTCACGTTCTGGCCCACTTTAGGGAAAACAATAGTGGAGGCTTTTAATGAAAGTTTTGAAACAAAAATGTTATCAAACTCACAGAGACAGGGGGTAATTACACTAATTGAGAA